CTTCAGCGCGGATTGCGTCGCGCGAGAGCAGGGCACTGCGCCCTCCTGCGAGGATGCTCCATTTCTAGGAGATCCCCAGGCGCAGTCAGCGCCCCCTCTCGCCCCCCCCCCCCCCCCCCTGGACCCCCCTAGGATCCAATCAGCAGGACCGGTTCGCTCGGGCCCGGGACCGCGGGATCCCAGGATCGTCCCGAGTCAGTAAGATCAGATTTCTGGAGCGGTATCGCAAACTCCCAACGTAAGAATTCGCGATGTTCAAGATGCCGGGCCACTGCGAAGTTTTCGAAGCGCCGACCAGGGACCACCGTCGACGCCCTCATCAACCTCACGCCGAAAGTTGCCATCGTGGTTGTTGTCCCATTGCCGTGAGCTCCAAGATCAGAGAGCATGCATTGCTGCGTCGGGCGTCCTCGCAGAGATCAGTGTCCGTGACAGTCGAGCTGCGTTTCTGGAGGGAATCGGCAGGATCCTCCAGTCCTCTGCGCTGACAAGAACGCGCACTACCGCCAGTTCCATTGCCACGTCCGCGTACACTCTGGCTCCGACGACGCAGGCGCCCATATGAGGGCCGTTCGGGAACAGAAGCGCGCTCGAGCCCAAAAAAGCGCTGGCTCGAGCCAATGATGACGGAATACAGATGTTCTATGTTTTCGAATTCCCAGCGGTTGGCCACAGACAAACGGAAGAAGGAACCTTCCGTTACTTTTGGGGAGTCACGTTGTGGAAAGCAGGAATTATGCCGTCGGATGTCTGGGTAATGTGGGATCAAGGAGGACGAGGAGGAGGAGGAGGAGGATAATGATGATGAAGAGGAGGAGGGGGATGAAGGCAGAGGAGTAGAGCGGGGTGGACGACGAGGAGGAGGACGAGGGCGAAGACGAGGACCAGGAGGGGGCTCAGATCTGCCCGAGGGCGTGCCCGGCACGCATCAGAACGCGGGGTGGTGATTCACACATCGAGCTCTGGCCCGGCCCTGCTCGCGGGCGCCGTCGCAGTCACCCGAGGTGGTTGGACGACCTCCCCACACGTCTTCATGCTGGCATAAAATTACGTTTCCAATCGTTTCTGGGGTCACCAAACGGGTTGGTGACTACCCCGCGTGGTGAGTTGGTGGGGATTCGGAGTCGCCGCACGGTTTTGGGACTCGGGTCGTTCTCCGAGGACGTTTGGGGAGCTGGGGGCCTCCGAGGTCCCAAAACCGTGCGGTGACGGACCGCGCGGCGAGGTCGTTGGAGATTTCGAGGTCACCACGCGGTCAATCATCACACGGTTCTGGGGCCCCGAAGAGTTTCTCATGGTTTGTTCTCAGCCGTCATCATGCACGATCCCTTGGGCCTCGGCACCATCGAGGCGGCCAATGTGTCGCAGTTGTTTGACCCCGGGGGGCCAACTTCGATGAGGAGAGGGATGAGAGGGAGGAGGAGGAGGAGGAGGAGGAGGAGGAGGAGGTGCAGACATTGGGAGCGGCAGATGATTGCTCGGGAGGAGAAGCCAGCCGTGCACGGGGGGGAGCGCGGTCGAGATGTCGGGGGGCTCGTGCGCCGAGCAGCTCGGAGCGCTGGGCGTCTGTGCCCGCGGACAGGTCCAGGGCCTACGGCGATGGCTCGGACATCTCGGGGCTGCCTCTCTCATCCCGAGGGCCCTCTCCCACCGTCGAGGACAGAAGAGCCCCTGAGATGAATGACGCGATGGAGACGTGGCCTCACGTAGACTCCCGTTTCTGCACTGCGGATGACAATTCTGGGTTGGCTGGATTCGCTTACAGAAAAAAAAACCCTATCCCTCATGGTTCTGGCCCTCCTTTTTCAGTGCCCCTCCCACAGGGTTGGGGGGTCCTCGTGTTGCTAATCGTTCCAGGGTCGGTGTGTCTGGCTGGCCGTAAGGCCTTCTCAGTCATATAGTCGGAGATGCAGCCGGGGTGCTGAAGAAGGAGCCCTTTTTCGTTGGGTAGGGGCTCGGTGTTCCTTGATTCCCAGCCATCCTGTGGTGTGGTCGTCGTTTTAAGAGACGGTGCCCGCGTTCCCTCCTTCCTTCGTCCCCCTCCCCCCCTCCCCCCCCCCCCCTGCGTTTGACCCACCCAGTACAGCGTTTCGTGGCCCCATAGGGAGCTCCACCGAAGCCCCCAGTGGGACCGCCCGCATGCGTCCCGGAAACCCACTTTGGCATTCCCACCCACCCAATACAGCGCTTCGTGACCCCATAGGGAGCTCCACCGAAGCCCCCAGTGGGACCGACCGCATGCGTCCGGGAAACCCAATGCGGCATTTTCACCCACCCAGTACAGTGCTTCGTGAACCCACAGGGAGCTCCACCGAAGCTCCCAGTCGGACCGACCGCATGCGTCCCAGAAACCCAATGCGGCATTTTCACCCACCCAGTACAGTGCTTCGTGGCCCCATAGGGAGCTCCACCGAAGCCCCCAGTGGGACCGACCGCATGCGTCCCGGAAACCCAATTCAGCATTTTCACCCACACAGTACAGCGTTTCGTGGCCCCATAGGCAGCTCCACCGAAGCCCCCAGTGGGACCGCCCGCATGCGTCCCGGACACCTAATTTGGCATTCGCACCCACCCAGTACAGTGCTTCGTGGCCCCATGGGGAGCTCCACCGACGGCCCCAGTGCTACCACCCGCATGCGTTCCCCCCCACCCAGTGCAGCGCTTCGTGGCCCCATAGGGTGCTTCACCGAAGAAGATATTCACAATTGCGGTACCCACAACTGCATATGGTTGATATGATGGTACAGTTTGTCTCGGGTTTTCCCCAGGTTCCCCCTGGGAGCTCCCAGGGGGCACCGCTGTCGCCCGAGAAAAAAGTCGGGGGCCCGAGCCGCGGCCCCCCCACTAGGAGAGGCGGCGGAGCGGCCTCCGCCAGGCCGCCGTCGTCGTCACCGTGCCCGGGCTGGCAAGGGCCGAAGAAGCCCTGGCACCCTCTCGGCGAGTACGAAGGTCGTGGCGCCAACATCGCAGAGCGGACGTCGTTCGGAAAGCGATGGGGTGGGCCCGGGGGGGTCCGGAGAAACTCGTTCCTGATGTTGAGAGGGATTTCGTGCGGGTATTTTTTGGCCAGGGATGAGGACCAAGAAGAATCCACGCGAAATTCACTTCGTTTTTCGCTCGCCGCTTCGGGCAAAAATCCACGCAGAAATCCGCTGCAGCACGACTGCAAGGCCGGTGCAATGACAAAGGGTATGGTTACGCTGGGGTGTGGTTTGCGATTGGCACCGTCGGGGCCTGGGGGGCACGACGCTGTCCTCGTCGGGCCTCCTTGGGGCGCGGGAGAACTCCATCGAGGTCCCCGCGCGCCCCCCAGGGTGCCCCCCAGGATGTTCCCCAGGGTGCCGGTTGCAAACCAGACCCTTTGAAGTCGCCGAGAAGAAGCCCTGGCACCCTCGGAAGCAGGCAGGCTGAAGCCGAGCTCCTGGACGGATGCGTGGGCGAAGGGTTTCTCCGAAGGGCTTAAGCGAGCTCCTCCTCCTCCTCCTCCTCCTCCTCCTCCTCCTCCTCCTCCCTCCTCCTCCCTCCTCTTCCTTCTCCTCCTCCTCCTCCCCCTTCTCCTCCTCCTCCTCTTCCTCCTCCTGCTCCTCCTCCTCCTCCTCCTCCTCCTCCTCCTCCTCCTCCTCATCCTCCTCCTCCTCCCCCTCCTGCTCCTCCTCCTCCTCCTCCTCCTCCCCCTCCTCCTCCTCCTCCTCCTCCTCCCCCTCCTCCTCCTCCTCCTCCGGTCGCCCACGGCCCCGGGGGAAGCCGTGCAGGCGTGGGCAGTCCAGGGTGCACATCTGGCAGGCGGGCGAAGAGGCGGGAAGGGCGCCAGAGCCGGGGGAAGAGAGGGGAGGGGTGGAGCTCATGGGGCGGCCGAGAGATTGTTTTTTGAGGGTCTGGCGATGACCCCGGTCATCGGGCTTGCCCCCCTGCCCCCCCCAGGATAAGCTCACCTTGCCAGTTGTGCAGGTCCGGTTTGGGGGGGCGCGGGCATATGCAGGGCTGCCCACAGCGCGAAGGTTGGGTTATCGGCCGGCCCCCTCCTCCCCCCCTCCCCGGATAACCCGCGTTATATCGCCGATTCAAAAAAAACGGTCGCCAAGAGGTGGGGGTTTCTCCGAAGGGCTTCGGCGACCCGTCCTCCTCCTCTTCCTCCTCCTCCTCCTTCTCCTCCCTCCTCCAATTGCGTTGTCCTGGTCGTCCGCGCATACGCTCTGGAGCCCTAAACTTGGGGGTCCCATCATCATTGCACACAGCTTGCTTCTCCAAAGAGGTAGGTCCACGTGACTGATCGCGACGGATTTGTTATTTCGACCTCGGGGAGGCCTTACCGAGCCCGGGTGGAAAACAAGTCCCCGGGAAGGGGATCCAGACCTCTGGGGTGGCACGTTGAACAAGTCAGCACGTCTTGATGTTTGGGGGGCATGAGCAGTTTACGCGTTCGGTTTCAGCGCGCCCTTTGGACCCGCCAGATCCCAGAGTTTCTCCCGATCTACTCCGAGCCGGCTCTGTTCGGTGACGGCAAAGAGGGGGATGATGACTAGGGGTGGGTGGGTATCATGGCGGGGGCCATGATTTGCGCCCCCCCCCTCTTGGACGCCCCCGTCTTGGCCGCTCCCGATGTGTTGTCATCTTGCCTTCGTCGTGCCGCGCCATGGATGAGATTCGAGGACATGTGGTGGCCAGGTCGGCTCGTTGCCCGATCGGATCCTGGGGGGCAGGGCAGGGCTTGGACGTTGTGCCACCAAGATTAAGTCGGGCCTATCGCTCTACAGGAGGAGTATTCAAACATAGTCAAAACATAGTCGGGGAACGATGTGTTTGAGATATTCCCATCATTGTTCAAGATACGTTTTGAGTATTTTTTATCTTTCGTCCAAACTCCGCCTGTCGGGGGACATGCCCGACGTAACACTAAGAGAGGACGTGCCGATAGTCCGTGGTCATGTGCTCGGTTCACCTCACCGCTGGGGTCGTAGGATGATGTCCCTTGTCACGTCCAACATAGCTGCACCCATTACATGGTCAAAGAGTCCGATAAAAAGGTCGCCAATTCGCTCTCTCTCGTCTCTATCACGTTTTCTGGCCTTCTTTCCCTTTATGGCAGCATCTCGGTGAACGCAGCCCGTTTGTCCCAGAGTCTCGTCAGTTTGATCGAGTGGCGACGACTGCGATGGAGCAGCGGGTCCGCGGCGTGTGCTTGAGAGTGCTTCGTGGAAGAGACGTTTTTCAGCGTGATGCGCAGGCTGCTCTTGCAACACTCAAGCGAGCTCGTTGTGTTCCGAACGACGTTCTCGAAATGCAGAGGAGGAAAAGGTACCCATACCTCTGCCCTTTCCTCGTTTTCCCCTTTTTGGGGCCTCCTGGGCGTTCCTCGTCGCCACCGCTGGATTCGCCTCGAAATCCTGGCCAGAGCGCACCCCAGGAGAGGTCCGGGGAGTAGCGGTTTCGGTACCCTGTGGTTCCCCACAGTCCTCGAGATGAGGAGGAGGAGGAGGAGGAGGAGGAGGAGGAGGAGGAGGAGGAGGGGAGGAGGAGGAGGGAGGAGGAGGAGGAGGAGGAGGAGGAGGAGGAGGAGGAGGGAGGAGGAGGAGGGCAAGGTGGTCTCTCCGACCAAGCGGCAGGGCATCGGCCTCGCAGACGGGCGGCCTCGGAGCTGCTTGCCTGGGCCACCGGCAGTCGCAGGCGCCCATCGCGTCCCAGCTTGCGTTGACCACCACCACCATAGGTTGGACGGGGGAAGGAGGAGGAGGAGGAGGAGGAGGAGGAGGAGGAGGAGGAGGACCCCCTCCCCCTTCTACTTATGGTGGCGGTGGTGGTGGAAAAAAAAAGCCCACCAGGTGAGGTGCGGGCGGAACTGAGCGACGCAGCAACAGGGTGTCGTCTGCGCCGACATCGGCGCGCATGTTGCCCGCGTGAGATCTCGCGTGAGCGCCCGCGTCTCCAACGTGGCGTGCCGCGGTGTCGGCCCGCGTGAGCCGCCGCGTGAGGTCGCTGTGCCATCTCGCGTAAGGCCCGTTGTTGATCGTCGCTCAGTTGTCGGGCGTTGACACACCGCCCGCCCAGACAAGTCGACCGAGGAAATCTGCACCAGTCATTCGACACTGGCACTCGCAGTGTATATATGGGTGCAGTCCCCCGCCAGTTTTACTCATCGACGTGTTTTTTGTTGCCGGATACACTCGGCAGTGTCTGGACGTCGATTGCAGTCGGACCGAGGCAGAAGATTCAGGTGGGTTCGGGGAGGATGCCCTAGTGTTCTTCGTGTTTGTTGGATGTTCTTGTGCATCCTGGAGAGAGTATCCTCGAATGTTGTGTGTGTTTGGGACGGCGGAGGGTCTCATGTTCTTGAGGGATGTTCTTCTGGCCTAGGTCCGACTGTAGCTCTTCCATCTGGGTCCACTCGGAATGCGGTGCCGTGCGCAGGTTGCTCGCCCCTGGCAGTTTTCACTACAGGGAGTGCTGCCTACAGCAGGTTCGCGACGTGTCGACCCACGGCGACCCCGCCGACGGCGCTCAACGGTGGACGCCGCCGGCGACCCAGAACCGGTCGCTACTGCACGCCCTGACGTTTCGGAAGCGGCCGATCGTTCAAGGTTGAGAGCTATTCCCGCGGTGTCAGGAACCAGCGCCGGGGTCGGCACGACACGCACCCGCGGTAGGCATTCTGGTCGGACTCCGTACCTCCCGATTGGCGCTGCCGACGCGCGTGCACGACTCGCTGTTCGATCGGTCAAGTAAGGCCTTGTTTGGGGGAAGTCGCACAGTTTGAGCACCCCCCTCGTTCTCAGATCCTCCTGCTCAAGGGTGTCCGCGGTTCTGTCATTGCGGTTGGGTCCCAGTCGGTTGCGTTCGGTCGGTTGGTTTCGGTCGGTTGTTGTTGTGTCGTTGCTGCATCGCTGCGCCCCTCAAAGCTGCTTGCGGCATGTCGGTTTCGGTGGGTTTCGGTGGCGTTGTCGGTTCGGCTCGTTATTGGTTGTGCCATCGCCGTGGACGGCCTCGCTACCACTTTTACTGCCACTGCTACTACTACTACTACTACTACTACTACTACTACTACTACTACTACTACTACTACGACTACGACTACGACTACGACTACTACGACTACTACTACTTTTACTACTACTATTAGGATGCGCAGGTCCGCTAGACTCTTGAAACCACGAAATCCAGAAAAGGCTTCTGAAAGGCTCCCAAAAGGCTATGTAAGCTATGTGTGTGAAAGCCTTTAAAAAAGCGTGTTCAAAGCTGTTTGTTTGCTATCTTGATTCTTCGTGTTATGCATGTTGGTACGGATGACCTCCTAACATACTGCTCTCACGACACATGCGCTTACCGAGGGCAGGGGGGAAGGGGAAGGGGAAGGCGGAGGAGGAGGGGGGAGGGGAGGGGAGGAGGGAGGGGAGGGGGGAAAGTGAGGGAAGAGGGACGGTCCGAGTTGGGAGCGAACACAAGGAGGCAGAAGGGGCAGCGGTCAAGGTTGGGAACGCCATGGAAAAACAACCAGGAGGCAAAAGGACAAAGGACGACTAAGGCAAGCAAGTGAACGAGGAGCACCAACAACTGAGAGGGACAAATCGGAAGGGCGAGGAACGGCATCAGGAGGGAATGTGTCTGACTCCTGCGCCGCGCGGGCTCCTCCGCCCTGAGCGCGGCCAGCGCGCGGAGGGCAGCAGCACCAGCTGCCCTCTCGGGGGGCAGCGGTCGCCCTCCCTTGGACGGGGCGGACCTCCCCGCCCAAGAAAAAAAAAACTCATGTCGCCGAGCCGCCGCTGCCACCCGTCGAAGCCCTTCTAGGGCCTATTTTGAAGCTCTGGGCCTTCTAGGGCCTATCTTGAAGCTCTGGGTCTTGGGCATTCCGAGGGCCTGGTATCATGTGCAGTCTGAGTGGCAGCGCCGACCAGCCACCTCCTGCGTCCACGGGGCCAGCGCCTCGATGGATCATCACCCCATCGAGTTTCTCAAGAGGCGGCCAGCCAACCTTCCTGGACCTTCGCCCCAGCAGGCTGCTGGGCTCTCGCACGTGGATTTCGGCCTCCTGGATTTTTTCTTGTTTTTTTTAAGCTCCTGGATCCTGGGTTCCTGGGCCCCTGGGGTCCTCATGCTAAGACACTCGGAGGCCGAAAAAAAAAAAAACCGCGGCGGCGAGCACTGGCAGGTGGCCTCACCCTAAACCTCGTGGGGCACATACTGCAGGGTCATCACCTGCTTGAGCACCTGCTGCACCGCCGCGTGCACGAGCACGCTCGGGACCGAGAAGTCACGAAGCACCTTCTGCGGCGCCTGGCACTTCGAGCGCAGCAGCACTTTGTTCGACGCGGTCTTGCCATCGAGAACCCAGCGCAAGACCTCCGACGTGGCCACCGCCGCTGCTGACTTCAGCATCGTGGCCCTGCTCTCCTTGAGCCACTCCTCGTCGGGCGTGGCCTGGAACTGCTCCACGATGTCTGCGTAGCCCTTGAGGGCCTGTGAGGGAGACGGGAGACGATGGGAAGGGGGGGGGGACCATCAGGGGAAGGAGGATGAGGATCAGGCTATGTAATGAGGATCATGCTGGGCAGGGGGCGGGGTGCTACCTCCTGCCCCCTGCCTCCGCCTCTCACGATCCTCGTCCTGATCCTGATCCTCCCCCCTATGGTTCTCCTTCCCCATCCTCCCTCGTCGTCTCATCTCCACGCGGCCTCCTTCACAACTTCGAGCTGCGGGTAGAGCATGTCCACGTTGATCTTGATGAACTCCGTCGTCTTCTCGCGCAGGGTGTCGACGCTGTCGTCAGGCAGCACGTTCGCGTGCCACTGCTGCCAGCCGACCTCCTGGGACACCGACGTCTCGAAGACGTGCAACGCGGTGACCACCGCGAACTTCTTCTCCTGCACCTTGAAGATGCGCACGTCCGTACGCAAGTTCTCCACCTGGTCCATCAGCTGCCCGTACGAGCTCAAGAACTCTTCCCCGACGCCCTTGTTCATGAGCTCCACGTTCTGCGACGGATGGGCCACAAAGAGCGCCTTGCACTCCTGCTGAGCCTTGTTGAGCAGCCTCCACTTCTTCTCGTTCCCGTCCTGCTTGCACATCTCCTCGACGTCGGCCACATCAGCTGCTCCTACGAAGTTGTTCAGTGAAATCTTTAGCTCGTGGGCTCTGTGAATGAACGTGTTCACGTCGCTCGTCGTCAGGCCATCGCCGAAGTAACCCGCAAGCTTGCCGAGCACGCAGAGGGAATCTTCATGGGTGCCGCCGTCCACGTCGATGTTCTGAATGGGACCGCTCAGCACGAGTACACCCCAAGCTAACTTCACAGCGTTGGTGAGGGACTCCAGGGGCTGCTCTCCGAAACTCATCACCTTGAAGTTCTTGAGGTCCGAGTTCAACTTGGAAATGCTGCCGCCCTCACTGAACGCATTCAACGAGGCCACCAGCGACTGCACCCTGTGCGCAGCGTTGGCGTTGGAAATCTTGACCTTCACCGCCTCGAGCGCCCGATAAATGGCATCGTCGGCCCTGCAGACCCTGTTCGCTTCCTCCAAGACCTCCTTGGCGGAAGTGGTCAGCATCAGGTAGCGGCCGTCGTCAGTGGCCGCGTCGCCCTCGAAGTTCCGATCCAAGAGGTGCTGAGTCTCGGAGGCCGGAACGGGCGCCAGGACCCAGCTACACTGGTCCCGACTCTTCAAAACAAATGGTAGGCCCAAAACGGGGCATCGCCAAATCGGTGGCAGGTTTTGCGGGGCCCCAATGTAATAAGATTGGCCACCACCGTCCCCGTTGGCAACGCAGCCCTGCACGGGCCCCCGCCAACCACGGAGGACGGAGGATAGCAAGGAGGGGAGGAGGAGGGAAGGAGGAGGAGGCATGGCGAAGAACCCTATTCATGAATATCCAGCAAAGCGAATCCGCACATGTGGACCTAACGCACACGAACAACGTCAGGAATCCTCTGGTCACTGAGCCTTCGGTGGGCCCCCTTTCGCGCTCAAGCTGTTCGCGCGGGGCGTGCCCAAACAGGCGAGGGGGAGGGGGCAATGCGACCCCTGCCGCTAAAGCC